CTTAATTACTCGGAAGAATTCTAATACTTAAAAGCCGGTTGATTCTTGATAACTAAACATGTCTTTGATCATGTAAGAATTAAGTTTTAAATTTATTTCTTGCCACGAACAATCTGATCCATGAAAATCTTAAGATTCACATTGGAAGAACCACCTTCTTTAAATGCATCCTTAGCCAGAATTTTCCAATGTTGAGCTTGCTTTCTCATATCTTCTCCTCTCTCTCTACCTCCCATAACAATTTCTAAACACCTCTCATATAAATACTGCCATACGATAAGAATACAGTCGTTGTTTCAAATGCAATTAACTAGATCATAATTGCTCAAATTTTAACCATAATGCATGGGCAATTTTCTCATTTAAAACATCCTGGAAATTATGATTCGAAATATGAAGAAGAATCTGTGATAAGGCCTTTTGATCCTTACGTTGTTTCTCCTCTAGCATTCAAGCTGAAAACTTCAGTTAATCCCAGCAAAGTATCATCCAAATCCATCTAAGCAAGCATTGCTTGTATTTTTACCTGCCAAAGCGAAAATTTGGTATTGTGGTCACAAAAAATTGAGTTTATCAAACCTCGCTCTAATACCACTTGTTAAATAAAGGAACAAGAATACGACAATATGAAAATAAACAATCACAAACACAAGATTTACGTAAAAAAATAAGACAGGAGAACAATTCACTATATGATGAAAGGATGCAATGATTTTGTGTTTTCAACTTGTTAATGGAGAGCTAACTATATATAGTACATGTCAAATCCTAAATATAGTGTTTTAGATTGAAGGAATATCTTGAAATTTGTCAAATAGAGAAATAGGACTGGGCCGAATAACACCAGCACTCGAGGGGCAACCCGTGAAAAACGAGTGCCATGTTTGGCAGTGCTCAAGCACCTCATCAGCGCTCCAAACTTCTCCTGATGCTTCGAATGGCACCTATGTGCCCAATCTCTACCCCAAATCACCTTTTGTGCATCTTTTTAATTCCCTTGGACCTTTTCAACCAATCTACCAATATCCAATGGAATTTAGGTCACACTTCAATAGTAGGGGTAAAAATCAATTTTTTAGCAAATTTTGATAAAAGTTGATAAAATATGTAGTTTAAAATAATTTTGAATAAAATGAATTTCAAAAAATTGGGCTAAAATCTCCGTTCACAAACAAATTGGTTCATTTTTGCGAAATCTGGATTGAAGCACCGTCTACTCACTCCTAACCGGAAATTAGGTTTGTTAAATTAGAGTTTCGAATTGGATTTGAAGAGCTGTCACAATCATTCACATAAATTTCAACAAGCAAGAAGGACACAGAAGCTACCATTTCTAGAATGCAAGCAAGCTAAGCACACATTTAGCGAATTTAGTTCAAGTCTTAATGATGAAAAAAGGTTAAATTTCACTTACAATTCCTAACTTTTGCACCATTTAGGGACTTTTTCCCGAACCTTTAGTTAGTAGTAGATTTTGCTTTGCATCTTGTGTGTCGATGTAGTGATCTGAAAAATGTCAAAACATGTAAGATCCAAAGTCGATAAGAAAACTGGGCATATAGAGATAGGAGTAATGTAGTAATGGTTATTTCACTTCGATGATCAAGTGAGCTACTACGTGGAGAACATGTTAAACATCTATTTTTCTTTTACTAAGAGGGTGTTTGGTATAAATTAAAATCAGATTTTAAGTAGATTGTGATAGAAGTTTTTGAAATGTGTGGTTGAAAAGATGTGAGACCCATGAAAGATGTGGTTGATATTGATTGTTTGACTTTAACTTAGATTAAAATATGGCCCAAAGAAGCCCTAAGTATCTTTAGTAGTATGTCATTTTGAGTTAGATGAAGTTAGACTTGACTAACTCACTGAATTTGGAAGTTGACATGAATCTATATTTACTTTTTCAGATTATCGTTTTCTCTCTTTGTTTTCTAATGCAGGCTGATTTTGATACATATTGTGGAGAAAAGAATGCATTTTTTCAAGTGATGTGATGGATAATATGTGGTTAAAAAATAAGGAAAATTTTTGGATTTGCGTGTAATATTATTTTATTGATGAATATGTGGTTTAAAATGAGTAGAGTAAGAATGCATTTTTCAAGAATGTGGATCAAATAGGGGCATAATGTATCTCGAAAAAGTTGAAGAAATATTTATCCAAACACATTTTTTTAATACAACTAGCTTTTTAATTACTCAGAACAATTCTTATTCTTAAAAGCCGATGGATTCTTGATAACTATATATGTCTTTGAATTTGATCATGTAAGAATTAAGTTTTAAATTTATTGTTGCCACCAACAATCTGATCCATGAAAATCTTGAGATTCACATTGGAAGAACCACCTTCTTTAATTGCTTCCTTAGCCAGAATTTTCCACTGTTGAGCTTGGTTTCTCATATCTCCTCCTCTCTCTCCACCTCCCATAACAATTTCTAAACACCTCGCAATCTCATCCGCAGTTACTATTCCTCCATCTACATGAGCAGCCAATTTAAGGCCCATCTTCCAAAAATCTTGTATAAGTTTTGCATTTGTAAGCTGATCAATCCACTGTGGAAATGCCACCACTGGCACCCCAGAAGCCAAACTTTCAATACAAGAATTCCACCCACAATGAGTCATAAAACAGCCCACAGAAGGGTGTGATAAAACCTCCAATTGGGAACAGCATGGTACAATCTTACCTTGTTTTTCAAGTTCTTTCATGAAACTTAGCGTGTTCTCTTCTCTAGTAATCCGCAGGAATGGTTTCTGGCTTTTGATCAATCCTTTAGCAATCTCTTCGGTCTGTTGTTTAGGTAAACCGGAAAAGCTTCCGAACGCTACATAAACAACTGATAATTTGTCTTTTGAGTTCAACCAATCCATGTAATCTACTGTCTTTTGTATGAGATCACCTCCAAATGAGGTGTCCGAAGGATCCTTCCCATCTAAAAATGCAGATGGAATCAAAGGTCCAATGCCCATCACATCATACTTATTTATGCCCCTTAAAGCTTGGAATTTCAATGCATCAAATGTGTTCACAAGTACTTTCTGCTTGGTCCCAGCTCTATCAAGAATCTCAAAATGCTCTTTGAAAGTAGGAAGAGCAAAATTGTAGATTACTGGGCTTGAAGAGAGCATAAAGGATGGCAAATCACCAGAACTGAGTAATAATGGCAGTCCCGGATGTTCAATAACCTCTGTTTGTAAAATCCATATTTTTATTGAAATAGAGATAATAAACATAAAAAACACTAGCCGCTTGATTCCAAAGAAGCGTGGATGGGATTTGAAGCCGATTTGCCACTTCACCTGCCCATGTAATGAGAATAGAATATACTATATGTGTAATCGGGTGGCCTTCATTTTCTTTAGCTATGATAAGGTTTTTCACAGCTTCAGAACCGCAAGTTCTAAGAGAGAACATGAAATCTTGGTAATCTTTGGCGCCTGTCCAGCCATCATCGTGACCATCAGAAAAGGGAGCCAAAGTCACGCCTGGTCTAGTAGATGCAGTTTCGGACGTGCGACCGATTGCAGAGAGAGTAGTGGAGAAGGTGACCTTGGCTCCCATTTGCAGAAGGCGCTTTGCAAATTGGAGAGATGGGTTTATGTGGCCCTGTCCTGGAAAGCTCACAAGAAGGATATGGCAGTTCACCATTTTGGAAATTGTAATTTGTGTGTGTGTTGGGGTGTGGGACTAAGGGGGATGGAGAAGTAAATGACTTGGCTATGGAGTTTATAGCAGATTGATGGTGATGACAGATGATGTTTCTGATTACTCAAGCTTCTTTTTGCAATTCAAAGAAGATAAAAGTTGCTAATAATAGCATTAGTGAAAGAAGTTGGAAAATAAAGAAATGCCAGAGAAGAGTAACGTCCAGTAGGGAAAATAGGA